AAAGCAAGTGTTAAAGAATCCGGGCAGCTCGGGAAAAACACTTACGCCAGCAATGTGACGAACCTATGCGGACCTTCCAACGAACGATCGTCATAGCGTGCCAGCTTACTTGGCTGCCGAGATGACCTCCACGAGGCTCATGCGGCACACGCGCGTCACACCCCGGTAACATTTCCGACTAGTAGAAATAACGTTCTGACTAGATTTCGTCCCACCACTTGTCACAACCGGGTTTTCCAGTCTCCATGCGTAGACCTTCCCTGTCACCGGATCCGAGACAGGTTGGTCAAAGAAACCTGGATTGCCCTGCTGGTCGGAGGCGCAGTCGGTACGGCAGCGAGACAAACAGTGAACGCCCGCTTCACTCAAGATCCAATTGACCAAGTACGGAACGCCCTGAGAGACTGCTCCTCCTTCTGCCACGGAGACGTTGACAGCGTTATTGAAACCATCAACCATGATTTGCGCTTTTGCCAGGCGGTGGCCCAGCTGAGTATTTAGGTTACGCAGGTTTTTGCACTTGCGCTCCAAGAACCAGAAGCCATCCTCAGCCCAGAACGAGTCTGCCGATAAACCTTCCAGGACTTGAGGCACAGACACCCAGCCCTTGGGAAAGCGGTCTCGATCGGATGTCTGCTTGCGGAACTGATACGGCGCTTCGCACTCAGCGGCAGGCCGGGCAACCATCTGACCGCCAGCCGACATGTCGAATTCTGGCGCCAAGACTAGGCAAGATCGGCGTTGTGTGCTTGCTGGTCTGGCGAAGCACTCTGCGTGGATCGAGGCCATTATCCGCGCATATCCGTCTGCAGAAATGAAGCCGTTCTGGAACGCGACGCAAGCAGCGCGCCCGTACTGCTGAAAAAGGAAAATATTGTCATGCTTCAGGTCGTGGCTAGTACCTATCCTCTTCGACCCAGGCGCAGTTTCCAATGCCCAACTGTTCAAACCCTTGCGTTGGACATGGTGGATGAAAGCCGCGGCCATAAAAGGTTGTACATTCCGCCACTCTCTATCTCTACACTTCCTGTACGGTGTGTCCCGCAATATCTTCAGGAGTACATCTTTTGACATACATGTGTTATTTGAACCAGTGCCTGCACGAAAGGTGCGCAAGTTGGAATATGCACGATACACCTCTTGGCGAAAAACTTGGCGAGCATGATCTGGCGTGTAAGCAGATCCTGACAAAGAAAAACATGTGGTTACGAGCGAAACAAATTCAGACTCGTTAATCATTCCATCACCGTCGCTGTCAATGGATTGGAATAGGATGTCGTTCTGCCGCGCGACCATCATCTCCGCCGCTTTGACGTCGCCCTGGCCGTTGTCGGCGAGAAATACAGTTGGTTCTGAAGCATCCGCCACCGCGCCACCAGCAGCCCGAGTTGTGTTAGAAAAGCTGCTGATTTGCTGCCTGGTAGAGGGCGGCACCCTGTCGCTCATCACGGCCCCGAGTCGGATTCACGACAGCCGAACTTCGCTCCGAGATGGCTGTGAGATTCCGGAAACTAGCCCGACAAGGAAGGCCCACTGACCCCCAGGGGCATCAAAGTTACCTTACGAGGCCCTAAGAGGCCCCAAGGAGCCACGAAGCGGCCATTAAGGAGCCTTTCAGAAATGCTCTGGAAAATGCTGCCCATGCTTTCTTCGTACAGCGGTTTCTGAAGCATCCCTGAGAGCCTCAAGGTGGCCCCAGGGGAGAGGGCACTCAGAAGCCCAAAGAGAGCCCTTAGACGGGCCAACTACCCTCCAAGACTGCCCAACGCAACGCCTCCCCAAGAAGGCTTCGAGACGGCCCCGAGACTGGACAGGACGGCCTCAAGACGGTTATACCGAGCCGTTTTGGAAGAGCTGAATGAAATCATTGCGCCCAAGATGGCTCCACAACCCCGAACAGCCCCCAGCATACTCCACACAAGCCCCCAAGAGGCCCCCGAGAGTGCCCCAGGAGGTATCCGAGATAGAGGCCCACGGTAAGCCTCCAAGAGAGCACAACCATGCAACGCCACGGCAACGCCACGCTGCAGCATCTCAACGCTGCGTCTCAGACGGCTGCAGAACCAACCCGCATGCACGTCAATGCCCTGTTGGCACAACGGCGGGGTTTGCCGCAGGCAGCAACATTATAAGCTAACCAACCGCTAAATTTCCTATATGAAAGTCCAGCCTCGAACCGCGACTGGAACACCGACAGCGCGTTCATGAGGGACCCATATTTCGCGCCAGCTAAATCCAGCCCCCAACTAGGAATACCCTCTGACGAAGCCACTTCTTGGAAGGCTCTGTTCAAAGGGTCTGAAGCTTTGATGCCAAGGGCGAAGCGAAGCTCTGAAGGCCTTGCGGATAGCGGCACTACCTTTGGGGGCGCCGCTACCTCACCTTCACGCGGCCCGCGGCCAAGCTCCAACACGAAGTTCAAGGCTCCTGGGTAAATCTCGCCATGGTTGCCGCAATTCGTGTCCATGCCTGCCACACCACCGAGGCTGCACTTCAAAGTATCGTCCAAATCTGAGAAAACTCGACTGCCCGAATCCTGCTGTGCATGAACATGAACACGGGTACTTGCGACCCGTGCACCGAGACCATGCCGAGAGCACAACACGAACACCGAAACGAACATCGCCACCGAAGAAGTGCCCATCCAGGGCACACCCTGTAACGAATTCGCCGGCCCAGAGCTATATTCGTCCGCGCACGTTCGCTTCAACTTTCACCTTGGGCCAGTGGCAGCGGATGTGTCCGTGTACCTGCGAATGTGATCGCGCGTGTGCGAACACGCCTTTGCGCCCGCACGTGTGGTTTGCTTGTTCGCGTGTGCCCCCCTCCTCACTCTCTTCGGCGGAGAGGCCAGGGGAGAAAGTGAGAAAGGGCGGGCCAAAGCACGGAAGTTCCTCGGTCTTTTGAAAAGTGTCTAAGCCTTCCCCGAAGACACAGAAAACTTGTCAGAAGGCCCGCAGGCTTCTGACAAGCCCCCTGCCGCCTTCTGGAAGGCCTTCTCCTTCTCAATTCCCCCCCTCGCTCGCCGCCGATCTCTCTCTCTCTCTCTCTCTCGCGCTCACTGCCCTGCCGCTGTTGGTCGTCCCCGCCCCATGGCCTCGCCTCACGTGCTGGCCCCGTCCCTCTTGCCCCGTCCCCCGCGCCCTGCCGCTCCCGCAGCACTGCCACCCGGGGCTCCTCTCAAAACCTGGATGCCGGTCCGTCTGCGGGGAATGCCGTCGCGCGCGCGAGCCTCCTGTCGAAAAGAAGGGGTGCGCTCGTCTACGCGCGCATGCGTTACACGCATTAGGGAATGCGCGCGTGCGTGCGAACGGACTGCTGCGAGCGTACACAGGAACGTTTGCCTGGCCGCGCGTGCGCGCGCGAGCGAGCGTGCGCGCGAGCGTGCGCGCGCGCCTGAGTGCGCGTACGCGTTCATGTGCGCGCGCGTGTGCGCGTGTGTGCGTGTGCGCGTGCGTGAGATTCTTGGCGCGACGCTCGGCACACCCTACCTGTTCTGCATGCGGCGCTCGCTGCGTCCGCGCATCGTGGTCTCCTGCGCTGCTCGCCCGGGCCCGCCCCCGACCCAGGAGCCCACGGCCTCGGCCTCAGTGAAATGGCCACGCGTGCGTTTGCAATGTGAGCTTGTGCGCTCCGCATCTCGCGTATTTGCCTACCGTGGCGGAAGCGCCACGGGGAAGAACAAAAGCGTGCGCGCGAGTGCGCACGTGCAGGCGTGAACGTATGCATCTGTGCGTGCTACGCCCACCTGTGGTCGCCTTACTGAGCTGCCAACGCGTCCCGCGGCTACACTTCCGGCGATTGCGACCGATCGCCGCGTCCGAGGAGAGAAAGTGTGCGACGACGTCTCGGGGGAGGGGGGGGCGTCCATGGCAGTGCGGCTCCGCCCACGCACCCACAAAGATTGCATATACAGCGGCAAATAAACCGCTGGCGCGTTGTTCTCCATGTATGCTGGAGGTCGTCGGCCATTTCGTATCCCTGTCGAGGTCATATTCGCAACCACTGTCGTCGCCCGGCCTGCGGAGCATTGCCAAAGCCAAGCCACACGCAAACAACAACAACGAAACACACACACACACACACACACACACACTGCGTCTACTCACCGAAAATGCTTACGTTACCGTTCCCAGTCGGTTATTCAATGACACGTTTTGCGGATGGTGTTGTCCGGAACCGCAAATGGCTTTACCGCACACGCAGCGCACTCGTCGCTACGTTACAGATGACAACGATGACCCTCCCTCTCTTTCCTCACATTATCCTGCCTCGGCCGCGCAGCGTTCCAGAGAAAAGAAGGTGATTGGCTCTGTGCCAGGTGCTTGCGGACTAGCACCTACGCGGTGCTTCCTTGCACGCTGAGCTGCTCCTCGTTTCCTCGAGGTACACTCAAAGACTGCACAGAAAAGAGAGTCAGCTAACCTGCTAATGAGGCAGACATACCTGTGCTCAGGCCAGAATAGCAGCGGAATGGCGATGACATGATGCGGCCACGCTGATTTCGCCATTCCGAATTACAAGATGATCAGACTTTGTCGACACAACCTGGCGTCCCCACAGTCCCGCAAGCGGACCGACGATCAATCCACAAGGCAACCACAACCCTCAAAGGGCACGCGCAAAACGCAAACGTGGAACGCAGCTGCCGTCGCCCCGAGTGGCGCCAACAAGGCGGACAGGCGGACGCGGAGGTCCACAGGCCCTTGAAAGAGGACAAGTGAAACTACGCAACATATCCCGGCCCCAGAAGGCACCAAGAGGGGCACAGACATTGCCCCAAAGAGGAGGCATCGCGACAGCCATGCAAGCGCCACAGCCATGCCACACTGCAGCGTTTCTGCGCAGATGTTCATAGAGCGTTGGCGAAAAAGCGCGGCAGGGCAACTGAATACAGCAGGTTCGTGTTGACACCACGTGGATCGTTCAACCTTCAACGATCGGCTGCTGTTCGATCGCCAGATCTTTCATATGGGTCGATTCTGAGCCACCGACTGCGTTCACCCTTGAACGCGCGAGGCGGCGTCACCGCCGCGTCCACACGACGCGAACCTACCGATTCCATCATGCGAATACGCATCGCGACATTGATCTGAAATGCGTCCGCCTCGCCCACACTGCGACCCCCGACGCACTGCACTGACGCTGGCGCGCGCGCGATCCTCGACAAACGTGATCTCCACCTCGTGCGTTCTCTGGTTGACCAGCTCCACCACTACCTTGCAGATCGAGCCAGGAGTCGGCTCAACGTAGGGGTGACCTTTGCCAAGGGCGACATTCGGTTGGGAAGGGGGAGGCGCGTCACCCCAAGAGCGACCCCTCCAGGCGTCCTGGAGGGGCGCCCCTCGGTGCCCACTTTCAGCCCAGCACCAAAGGTCACCCTGGCGGAGGGACACCCTTACGCACCGCTGACAGAAGGGCGCGGACAACAGAGGAGGCAACGTGCAGCGCAGCGCATGCGTCGAGCGCCCTTGGTGGAGGACCAGACGCAGAGGCCGCCGCGCAACCAGCTGCAGGAGATAAGCAGCGGCCGGAGGGGAGGGGCCAAGAGTGCTCCCTTGCAAGAGCTGGCATCGGGCCGCCAAGGCGCTACCAGGCGGGAGCCACTCCTGACAGCGCCAGAGCGGACGACTCGGTTGAACCGTGGATGCGCCTGGCTGCCCTGGCATGCCCGCGCTGAAGCACAGCACGTGCCTCCGCCTTGCTTCCCTCCCGCGCGCACGAGGGATCCCACGCCGCGCGTGCGCACGCGGCCGCGCGGAGAGGGCGCGCCGGCACGCACCACGGCGAGCCCCGCCTTCGTGAGGGCTCCCCCCTCGCGAGCGGAGGAGTGGTGTGCGTTCTGGGCGTGGCCGAATGGGTGGGCGATGCGTGGGCGTGGCCGAATGTTCTGGGCGCTGCTGCATGGGGGGGGCGAAGGAGCGTGCACCTTTCGTACCCCCTTTTGGGGCCCCACGGGCCCCTTGAGGGCACGCAGGGTGTAGGAAAGTTGTATGTTTCTTCGCCCCCACACACACACCTACACACACCTACACACACACACACACACACACTTACACACACCTACACACACTGTACACACACACACACCCACACACACACACTCACACGCACGCACGCACGCACGCACGCACGCACGCACGCACGCACGCACGCACGCACACACACACACACACACACACACACACACACACACACACACACACACACATACGCACGCACGCACGCACGCACGTATCGCCCCCCATTGCGCACCGCCCGAGCGCCCCCCATTACGCAACGCCCGAATGGGGTGTGGGGGGACGCGGGGACATGGCCCCCTTGTGCGCCCGAAGTGGGTACGGAATACATAGGTAAAATGCCCAGTGACTCATGCTGTCCAAAGCCAACAGCAGCTGCTGTTGGGCAGCCGGCAGTCTGTCTCAAAGGGACAACGTCCGCGGGCCCTGCTCGAAATGGAAAAGACGCGTTGTCGGTCTTTGTGCCCATTCTTTCCGTACCCATTGGGTCGTACCAAACTGCGGCGGCTCGACTGCGGGACGTTGGACAACGCATCGATGGAAATGGAGGTCCTTTCCCTCCCCTCTCCGAGAGCCTCTGCGGTCAGACCGCCCCTGGGCGAGCGGGCGGGGCGCAGAGCCGCTGAAGAAGCAGCGTCGTCCAGCCACGGCCCCTGCGTCAGCAGAGAGACAAGAGAGAACCAGGCCGTACCGCGAGCCCCCCCCGCAGACTGCAGCCCCCCGACACATGGCCGCAGGAGCACCCCCACATGGAGGGCAGGGCCCCCGAGGAACCCCGGGGCTCAATCTGAGGGCCCTGGGCTCCGCCCCGCCTCGACACACTCCACGGCCGGGCAGTGGGCGTGGCCGGCCGACGCTGCTGCCGGACCCTGGCCTCGGCGGCCGCGCAGGCCCCGTGCGGGCGCTGCGCAGCGAGGCGCCTCCACGCAGAGGCGCGCGAGGAGGCTCGCACTCGGAGGGCCTCGACCCTGCCGCCTGCGGCGTCGCGTCGCACCGCCTCGCCCCGGGCTCCGCCGCCTGCTGCCCGCCGCCCTGCCAGCCGGGTGCAGCCGGGCCTGGGGCAGAGGAGCCTCCCTCAGGAGAGCACGCGGGCCTCCGCCGGCCAAACCTGGGGAACGGTCGAGGGCCCCCTCCCCCAGGACGCGCGAGAGCAAAAGCGCAGGCACCCGGGATGCGCAAGAACCTGCGCCAGACGCGGAGAACACTGAGGCACCCTCCCCCAGCCGACCTCGATCTGCTGCTTCGGTCCGGCCGTGGCCTGAGCTCGCGCGCCGCGCCGCGAGAGGCGCGAGGCGCGGTGGCCTTCGCGCCCGTGCGCCGCCCATCCCCCTTCGGGACGAAGGGCGACTCGACTCTCCCGCCAAAGGAGTTCCGCGCCGCACCCCGTTCGCGTGAGGGAGGCGCGCCGGCGGGTCCCCAAGGGAAGCGGGATCCTGGACAGACGCCCGAATGCAGACTGTGTCTGCCGCGCGCGCCGAGGCCGCCGAACATCCAGGAGGCCTCCGCCACGCCCCGGAAGCCGGGCAGGAGAGCACTGCGCAACCACGGCTCGAGAGAGATGGCTGGCTCCACCTCTCGGCAGGACGTTGGGAACGGGCCCCGAGGGAAGTGGCTCCTGGGCCCCCGGGGCTGCTCCACAGGACCAGCTGCTCGCCCCGATCCGTTCCCCGACGGCCCCGGGGCCCGAGGAGAGCCCTCTCGGGAGCCAAAGGACGGCGCCAGGCTTCCGCAATACTCGGGCCTCCGGCCGACGAACGGGGCGACGAGGCCACCCCCAGAGCGCTCGCTTGCGAGGCGCAGCTGCTGGAAGGCAGCCCGAGGCTGGAAACCTTTCAGAACTAACGAAAACACGTCAGAGGTCCAGGTGGGCTAAAGGTCTCGAGTTTCGAGCCGCCGGCAGGAGGAGACGACGACGACGACGACGACGACGACGACGACGACGACGAAAGACGACGACGAAAACGACGACGACGACCACGACGACGACGACGACGACAGCCTCGAAGTTCAAGCCGCCGGCAGAGGCGGCGCCGACGACGACGACTTCACGAGCACGACGACCACGACGACCACGACGACCACGACGACGACGACGACGACCACCACCACGACGACGGTGGCGGCGGAGACGACTTTGACGACGGCAACGCCGACGACGACGACGACGACGACGAAACAATCGAGGTTAGAACCGACGACAAAGGTGGCGGCGACGACGACGACGACAACGGCGACGACGACGACGACGACGACTACGACGACAACGACGACAACGACGACGACGACCACGACGACGACGACTCCACGAACACGACGACGACGACGACGACGACGACAAGTGCGACGAATAGGACGAGGAGGGCGGAGGAGCACCTCCATCAGCTTGCCCGAAGACTTCGACCTGTAGGAGAGGTGGGCGCCGATCTTCAGCCAGGGCGGCAGCGACGACTCCCCACCTGCGGGGTCCCTCGGGGGGCGCCCGCTGGCGGAAGAAGGGAGGGAGGGAAGGATGGAGGAAGGGAAAGAACGAACGAACCACCACTGCGGACAGCCGGCCAGGCCTAGCTGAGACCAGGTGGGGGAGGCCAAGGCCTCTTGGAAAATATAAGAATGGAGCTTGACGTGCAAACAAAGAAAACTGCTTGTCCAAAGGAAAAAGAAGAAGGAAGAAGTCCGGATTCTGGCCGATGGCAAATCTCACTCATGAGCCGGTCGCGTGCTATCATGCATTGTGTGCGAAGTTGTCCTCGAGTGTCACACTAGTGGGTATGTCTTGAGACCATTGAGCCCACGTGAAGACGTTAGGTTGCCCTTTTTGCGGTGGTTGGTGTTGGCGTTGGGCGCAAGTCGAGATTTTTGATGCTGGAGGCATGTGGTGACGTCGTCGTCCCACCGCTTCCGCTGGCCGCCTCATTGCCGTTGCCCTCGTAATCGTGGTCTTCACCCGGGAGCCAGTGTAGTGTTTTCCACGTCCACCTTGTGCGCTCGTGGTTGGCAACCCTTGAAGCCAATCGCCACGACTTCTGCCTGTGAATTGTCGCCCAGCTTTTGGCCCCGTAGTGCTTCATGAGATGCTCTGCGCGTAGTCGACCCAGGGCCCCATATCAATCTCAATGTCCACATTTGCGGTGACGTCGTCGCAGTCGCTCTGCTTGTCCGGAATCACAGTTGTGCTGTGCGGTGGCGGGTTGCTGTCCGCGTCGTCGCTGGTGCTGCCAGCGCTGAGGTCATTGCCTGGTGTTTCGTCGTTGTTGCCGTCGACCGTGGCTGCAGCGGAAGCGTGGCGGATGGTGCGTCGTCGGGGTGTCCTGATGATCATGCGGAGCATCCACCATGGTGTATCACTCGAGGAGCGGGCAACTATGGAGCAAAACAATGGGATTCTTGGAGAGCTTCCCAGTAATCCCACTGGCTTCGACCAGCACCATCCCCTCGAGTGCGACGGTTCAGCTGTAACCTCGCGCCCGATGGGCAATGCAGCCAGGAAGGGATAAAATCCGAAGACCCCTTTAGGATCAAGCCGGACCGTGGGAAATATTGGGGAGACTCCCCTATGCTTTCCTTCCGCCGCTGCAGCTGGGCTCCGTTTGGAGCCCATTCTGATTTCTCCTGTGGGCACGGGGCGTGGGCAGAAGCCTGACCGATGTGCTTGGAAGCGCAACTCGGGACTAGGCGCAAAATCGGCTCGGCCCTGGTCTCTCCCACTCTGCTGAGCCGCTGGGCACGATGAGCTGCACCGATTGCACAGGCACGCTCAGTGGTACACAGCTTGCCTGCCTTCCCGCCTCACGCATCGTGCCGCGCACCCGCCAGCCCGCCATGGGGCTCGCTTGGGGAAAGGAGGGAGGGAGGAGGCCGCCGTCCTCCCATGGCAGCCGGAGAGTGGGAGGCCCCGGCCAGCGCACCCCCACCCGCCGAGAGTGGCCGCCCTTCGCGCGCCTCTCCTGGGAGGGACTCTTCCGCTGGAGGGGCGGCGGGGGGGGGCGCGCCGGCTCCCATTGGAAGCGCTCTGGGTGGAGTCACTCTGGCGGAAGGAGGGAGAGGAGGAGGAGGAGGAGGAGGAGTCGAGCGTGCCGAGGAGGAGGCGGGGAAGGAGGAGGTGGAGGAGGAGGAGGAGGCGGAGGCGGAGGAGGAGGAGGCGGAGGAGGAGGAGGAGGGCCTCTGAACCCCACTAGCGTGGCGAAATAACCACGACGGAAAGTATTCACCACACTTCGGCCCCTATAGGTCCTCACCGTACCCCGCCACCGACCCCCCCCCCAAAAAAAAACTCCGGATGAAAAGCCGCCCCCAGGGAAAGGGCCCAGTCCTCTGGGGGTCAAGGTTGCTTTAGAATCACGACGCCGGGAGTTCGGGGAGGAGCCAGATCGAGGATCAAGGAGGAAGAAGATCGGGCGTCTGCCGTGGCCTGTGTGGGCACCGGGGGGCATGATACCTCTGGAGATTCCTGGGAGGAGGGAAAGACAGCACTGACATATCGCAGCCACCACTCGAGTCGTGGTCGCAGAGGCTCCACTTCCTCCTCCTCCTCCTCCTCCTCCTCCTCCTCCTCCTCCTCCTCCTCGTGTTCCTCCTCCTCCTCCTCCTCCTCCTCCTCCTCCTCTTCTTCCTCTTCCTCCTCCTCCTCCTCCTCCACGGGCGTTGGATAATCGAGACCTTGAAGACAGTCATGTGTGTTGGCTTCGCCCTGGCAGGATTAGAAGAGCGCCAATCTGGCCACAGCGAGACTCATCGGATCTGGACGCCGCAGAATGACCCGAGACCTACCGAACACTTTCTCAACGCGAGGCGATCAACAGGAGCGCTTCATACGAAAGAACACAAGACCTGTAGCACTCTTGAACGCTTCGCCAAGCAACGCCGGACCACACTCAACTCCCCCCAGGGTGCCGGGAGGTCTCGTCTGGGTCCGCGTACACCTTCGCTCCGGTGGACATCCCCGAGAGGCCCAAGGACACCCCAAAACTGCCTCCAAGAGGGTTCTGAGAGGCCTCCCGAGAGATCCCCAACAGGCATCCAAGAAGCCTCTGACCTACATCCCAGGCACGGTGGCGGTGGACCGAATGCCACTATCCAGGAGACGCGAGACTTGAGTTCTGGTGGGCTCGGGTTGGCTTGACGAGTCGTCAGGAAAATGACGAGACCCACTCTGAAAGTTGACGCTAGCTCCCGCTGCAGACATCCCACGAAAACTGGACCGTCACAGGCCCGTCAAGCAGCGTCGGCAAACCCGAAGTCCGGCGAACTCGAGTCCTACGCTTCCCCGACACTGGATGCAGTCAACCCGTCAGCCTGTACAATAAGGACGCACGGTGAGGACGCAAGGGCCTTGGAAGGCCAGGCCGACATTCGGCGGGCGGGGCGCGGCCGGCGAAAGCCGCCAAGGATGGACCGAGGGGGAAGGATGCAAGGGCAACCTCATGCTGCTCCCATCGTACGTAAGGACCACATCCCAGAAAGAAGTTCGAGCACCCAGAAAAGTATCGAAACAGTGCCGAGCGAGCATCGCCTCCCAGGGCCCGACACGTGAGAAACCTCGAGTTTCGGTACTATCTTGGAGGCGCTCGAACTTCTTTCTGGTGGTCAAGGCACAAAAACGGTTGGAACATCAGGAGGGTAAGCCTGGAAAGCCGCTCCTCCCTGAGCAGGGATGGTCCGAAGGGGAGCGGATGCAGAGGGGGGAACCCTGGCAGGTCGCTCTTCCCGACTGCGGCTAAGTCTGCAGAGGGGGGCTGAGCCGTCCTCGCGACCCCGGCCCCACCTGGCCGAGGCATGCCGTCCGGCGGCCGCTGTCCTCGCGGGAGCGGCGGGGGGGGGGGGCGCGGCGGCAGTGCGGCCGAGCGGGGCGGAGAAAAAAAGCGCGGAGGCCTCCCCGGGGGCAGCCACGCAAGATGGCCGAAGGGTCGAGGAGAATCCCTCCCCAGGCCCCCAGCACGCATGAAAATACGGTCCGACCGTAGAGCTAGGAAGGGCGCACGGTCAGGAGGCGAGGGCCTTGGAGGGCCATGTCGACAACTTGCGGGCGGGGCGCGGGCGGCGGAATCGTCCAAGGATGGGCGGAAGGGGAGAGGATGCAAGGGTGACCTTGGAAACTCGCTCACTCTTACTATGTGGGTTGATGCTAGTGCGGGAGCTCGTGTTGCCGTGCACGGCCTCTGGGGGTCCTCCCCGGGCCCAGGGGCCCTCAGAAAACGCCACGGGACGAAAAGCTGGCCCTGGGGAAAGGGCCGGGACTTCTGGGGGCCACATGTTCTGTGAACCAAGCCATAAGATCTCTGTGCGGAGCCAGGTGTCGCAAAACACAGTCGAAATCTATGAGAAGGACGGGCGGTAAAGACGCAAGGGCCTTGGACGCCGAAGTTGGCACTTTTTGGGCGGCGGACCACCAACACCCTGGAGGGCCGGCCCGTGGAACCGCGAAGGGCGGGCCGCAGAGGCAAGGACGCAAAGGGGTACCCTGGGACGTCCGCGCACCCTCGCCACGAACTTTGGCTGCAGATGGCGATCTCGATTCGACGGCTCGTAGGAGGAGGAGGAGGAGGAGGAGGAGGAGGAGGAGGAGGAGGAGCACGAGGAGCACGAGGCGGAGGAGGAGGAGGAGGAGGAGGAGGAGGAGGAGGAGGACCCCCCCCCCTGCTCGACGACCTCTCTGCGGACCCCGCGACGGCTCGTGCGGTCCGACGACCTCTCCCGGCGGGCCGTCCCCCCCGCGGGCCCCGGGGGCCGAGTGCACGGCAGAGCTCGGGGCGCAGGGCCCGTGGGCCCGGGGAGGGGCCGAGGCCTCACGGAGGCCCGCGCCGTGCACAGGAAGGCACGCCCGGCGGCCGGCGGCTGGAGAGAACAAAATAACAGCCGCAACCACGACCGCAGCCACAGCCACAGCCGCAGCCACAGCAGAAGCAGCAGCAACCACAACCGCAACCACAATCGCAACAACCACGACAGCAATAAGAACAATCGAGCACAACAACAACAACAACAACAACAACAACAACAACAACAACAACAACAACAACAACAACAACAACAACAACAACAACAAAAATTACTAGCACGTGGGGACACTCCGTTCTCACCAGTGCCAGGGTTTTCATAGGAGGCGGGCAATACCCCCACTTTGTGGGGGGGCCGGTTCAAGCTCTACCAAATTTCCAAACGACTCTTCGCCACCACCCACACCCAGCTTCCCGCCCTATGACGTTCGGACACTTCACTTCGTGGCATGCGGACGACCGTGGCTACTATTCAGGGCCCCGCGGCCGACGACGACGGCGTGCGCGCGCGAAGAAAAAACGAATGTGTCCCGCATGGTATTATTTGACAGGGATGATGGCCCTGGCAGGTGCGCAACCGTTGTTGCAGAAGTTCGAAAAAGTTGCTCGCAAAAGCCCGTTTGACAGAAATGTTTAAAAAGTGTTGGGTTTCCTACGAATCCGCAAGAGCGCGCGGGATGAAATTTTGACAATTTTTTTTTGAAAAACCATTGGTTTTTTGATGTTTTTATGTTAAAATCGCTACGAAAACTAAGGTTTTGGAAGGATTTCGTCTTGCGCGCGCGAATGTCCACTTTACCTTATTTTTTTGCAAGGGATTCTTGAAGTTTGGTTATGTTAGAACAAGAAATGTCCACTTTAGCTTATTTCTTGCAAGGGAAAACCGATCGTAACAAAACAACCGGATCCGGACCAACCCGTTTTGCCTGAGACTTCCTCACGAAAATGATGAAAATGTGGCTGCGGCCTAGGCGCGGCGGGGGGGCCATGCACCAGGGGCCCCAACAATAATTATTCTTTAGAAGTAATAATGTTCAACAACAACAACAACAACAACAACAACAACAACAACAACAACAACAACAACAATCATTTTACCCGAACGCGTGGTGTTCTCCCCAGTGCCAGGGTTTTCATACGACACCAGGCAATACCCCCACTTCGTGGGGGGGCATTACAAGCTCTACCAAATATCCAAACGACTCTTCGCGACCACCCAAACCCAGCTTCCCGCCCTATGACGTTGGGACACTTCACTTCGTGGCGTGCGGACGACCGTGGCTACTACACTGGCGTGGGGTACACACCCACAGAACCCAATGGTTTTTGGAGATTTCGGCGTGCGCGCGCGAAGAAAAAACGAATGTGTCCCGCATGGTATTATTTGACAGGGATGATGGCCCTGGCAGGTGCGCAACCGTTGTCGCAGAAGTTCGAAAAAAAAGTTGCTCGCAAAAGCCCGTTTGACAGAAATGTTTAAAAAGTGTTGGGTTTCCTACGAATCCGCAAGAGCGCGCGGGATGAGATTTTGACATTTTTTTGTTGAAAAACCATTGGTTTTTTGATGTTTTTATGTTAAAATCGCTCCGAACACTAAGCTTTTGGAAGGATTTCGTCTTGCGCGCGCGAATGTCCACTTTACCTTATTTTTTGCAAGGGATTCTTGAAATTTGATTATATTTGAACAAGAAATTTCATTTTATAGTGTTTTTTGCAAGGGAAAGCGGGGGGGAACAAAACAACCGGATCTTGATGACATCGAATTACCTGAGGCTTCCTCACGAAAATGATGGAAACGTGGCTGCGGCCTAGGCGCGGCGGGGGGGGCGCGCACCAGGGGGCCCAACAATAATTATTCTTTAGAATTAATAATGTTCAACAACAGCAGCAGCAGCAGCAGCAACAACAACAACAGCAACAGCAACAGCAACAGCAACAGCAACAGCAACAACAACAACAACATTCACAACAACCACAGCAACAAAACAATCAGTTCAAGACTGTTCGCTCTTACCTGCTCGCGTGCAATTCAACACGTATTTCCCAAACCCTCGGGTACACGCCCACTTCGTCCTCGATCATGTCCCCCTTGAGGGGTATATCTTCCTTACCTGCCACGTGCCTCTAGCGCCGGCCCCGAAGCGCCCCGACAAGGGGCAGCCCCTCCCCTCAGGACTAAAAGCAGGACTGGGGGGGGGAGTTTTGAAAAAGTGTGCCGCCCGGGGGCCCGGGGCCTGGTTCTCCGTTATGTATTATACTAGAACCACGCGCGATCTTCGCGCGCTTAGGTTCTGGCAAGCCCCAGGCCGTGACAAGTTCACAGATCCTGTGAAATAGGTGCCCACAAATAGCGTGAACATGAGGCACACCGAAGCGTCTAAAAACGAGGGCCGAACAGAGATCGATCACATACAATGGCACATCCACACAAGGCAATGCGAACCAATGCCAAGCAGTGAAAATAATGTTCACAATGGAGTGCCCACGCTGGCACTGCAATGCAACGCAGTGCCACGGAAACCAGATGCGAGCGCAATGCAGCGAGAACCGAAGCGAATGAAAGGCAAGGCAATGCAATGCAATTCAACTAAATGCACAGCAGAACAATGCTCGCCAGCGCAATGCCGTTTGCGGAATCATGCCAGTGCACTTCCGTCGGAAAACAACCAAGTGAAAGACAATGCAATACAATGCGCAATAACGCAATAGGCTGTACGAACCCGAGGGTTCTGGAACCTCGGGGATCCCAGGGATAAGGTCTGCAAAATAAGTGGCGGATGCCCCGATTCCGCCGTTGGTACACATCCATATGAAGCTAGCGCATCAGCTCGTCCTTCTTCTCGCCCCCTCCTCCTCCTCCTCCTCCTCCTCCTCCTCCTCCTCCTCCTCCTCCTCCTCCTCCTCCTCATCCTCCTCCTCCTCCTCCTTTTCCTCCTCCTCCTCCTCCTCCTCCTCCTCCTCCTCCTCCTCCGTCTCGCAATCTATCCTCTGGCCGGTCGGCTGGCCTCGACCGGCGACCGTTTAGATTGCCACACAGACTTCTTACATGGAAAACAAAATAACGAATTTCCCCCCCCCAGGCTGCCCCGCAATAACTGTCGCAGGAAACCCCGCGTCCATCGGCCACGCGGCCGGGACAAACTATATATCTTCTAGGTTGGCCACGAGAAGAAGGGGTAGAAGCAGCGTAGGGGGACTGCGAAAGAGACCGAAAGTTGCAAATTCCCTAGCGCTTGTTTTTGCAAGCACCCAGGAA